TTATGTTTTCATAGCCGAACACAGTGCGTAGCTTCATTTCCATTGGAATATGAAGCATAAACTTCGAGTTAGAAATTTGATATTTTCATATTTTAAAAAAAAAAAAAAAAAAAAAAAAAAAAAAAAAAAAAAAAAAAAACCAACAACAACAACAAAATAAAACGGAATTAAACATGGCGACTCTTGTGGGGCAATCGATGACTGAAAATGACCGGCTACCAAAGTTCGTGGTATTTGAACAAAACGTAGTAGTGTTAAGAACCGTTTTTTAGACTGTCAATCACTCCTTTCCTAGAGATTTCTAAACTACGCTAGTAAATAAATGATCGTTTTTGAATTATTTTCTTTTCTTTCGAATAAGATTAAGTGCCTCCATTGACCTCTAAACCACACAACGTACGCAAGAGTCGGGATGTGATAGTATTTATTAATCATTAATATGAATACAATCATCTAAATCGAGTTCTGTTATTGATAAATGTTCACATTGATTCAGTGAGACATAAAACAACAGCTTTTTCATGCATCCCTGTGGCCTAGCTTTGCTTGAATGTTTATGTTCTAAATTTTAAGATTTTCAACACAACAATGATTATATGCAATTAGGCAAGATGAAATAAACGAAGCATCATAGACACCGTTTGATGCCATCGTTTGTTTTTCTGTACGCTCACACTATGCGCGCTCTACGCTGTTTGTTCAGGTTTTTTTGTTTGAAAAACACGAGAAAATATGAGCAAATAGCGTAGAACGCACGCAGCTGGCGCGCGCAGGAAAACAAACAATCAAATAAATGATTCTAAAAATAGCATCGAACATAATAAAAATAGCATCAAAGAGTGCTTATCATACGGCGCTCGGATTCCTGACCTTAGTTCATTTTCTTTTGAATTTAGGTCAATTAGCTATATATCCGTATCAGTAGAGTAAAGGCATTTAACCCGGGTGAAATAGAATACTAGTCAAACATGTAATAGTCAAATAGACACAAAAGAAAACAATGGAATTAGAATCTATTAGTATCTATTAGTCAAATATCACTCTACATATACCATGACTAAACGAGATCCTCACATAGATAATCAGAGCACATGCATGGAGCGATCTTCGTAAATGTCATACCAGTATATGGGTTTATTTACCCATGTGGTCTCTCCCCCGTCAACCAATGTGAGCCTTGATCATTGCCATTGAAACAAAGCAAAGAAAACAGGCCAAACCGGTTGACAGGTGCTCGACATTGGTAATGGCAGCACTATGTACTCTAATGTTATCAGTAGTGCTATTACAGAGGTTACCATGACAGCAAGAAGATTTGCCCGACAGATAGGTTATACCTGTGCCGTCCTCCTCACTTGTTTTGTTCAGCTCATGACGCCACAGCGCTTCAGTAAAGCTACAATGATATATACTGCTGCAGCCACGATATGTCCAGTCGAATTCCTTGTTTTCCACGACTGCTTTCACCTTCAACGTGATACATCGGTCTTGCATCACATGTGTCATCTTTGGAAAACGACCACATATTTGCTTGATGGGGCTGGTACAGCTTCTTGGAACGGTTTTCTCGGGGCTGTCAGCTAAACGGGTTCCCGCTGGAAAGTCAGAACATGTATAGCAAGTAAGGTTTTTGCCTACAAAGAAACGAAAACAAAAACAAAAAATTGATATATTATGAACGAAAGAAATCATTGTAATAGATTTCATGGCGCTATGGAATACATCGGCTAATACATAGTCGGTGGGGAAGGATAATGTCCCATGATATACTGGTTTATCTATTGTGTAGGGGCCTTTTGTCGTTTCTTGCTTTGTTGTTGTACAAGCTACGGCTTGTTAAGCCAACAGCGTAGCCGAGATGGCAGTCGGGTCCTGTGAATCTCTTCTCAAGAAAGCTATCGACGAGAAGCAATGCCAGTATACTGCTTATGGATGTATCGAATCACTCCACTCGACAACCAGCTGCCTTCACCATATGAACTGCTAACCTCTATATCGAAGTAAACCGAAGCAGATACTACCAAGCAGCAAAGTTACAATCCAGACACCCTGACAATGAGATGCTAACCAGCAAAGACAAGATATCTTGTCTTTGCTGGTTAGCATCTCATTGTCAGGGTGTCTGGATTGTAAATTTGCTGCTTGGTAGTATCTGCTTCGGTTTACTTCGATATAGAGGTTAGCAGTTCATATGGTGAAGGCAGCTGGTTGTCGAGTGGAGTGATTCGATACATCCATAAGCAGTATACTGGCATTGCTTCTCGTCGATAGCTTTCTTGAGAAGAGATTTACAGGACCCGACTGCCATCTCGGCTACGCTGTTGGCTTGGTAATTCCAATATGTTCGCTGTTCTTCTTGAATTTCTCACTGAGGTAATGACTTCCACAGTCTGCGACTACGGTTGATGGTCAACAACCGTATTCGGCGAGTACACTTGTAAGGTGGTTGCAGAAAGTGTTGGCTGTCATATCTTTTATCTTTTAATAGTCGAATTATCGGGATCTTGAATAGTCCAGGATCATCAGATACCTTGACCAGCTTGAGCTGGAAGACGTCTTGAGTTCAAGAATAAACATAATGGGCTCGACTTGTGATGTAACTCGAGGTGGTAGTATCCTTTCCTTGTGTCTGCTACTAAAACGTATTTCTTTCGTGTAAATGTGGTAGTGTTTCATCGATGGTTCTGCTGTAATAACGTTCTCGCGTATGTTCTTGTTGAGGTCTTTGGGGTCTAAAGTCAAGAGAGTCGGACTTGTTGCCATTTTGGGCTGTAGTGGTGTTGCAAACTATAGAGTAGACCCAATCTTTTTTCTCTGTTACTTCTGTAACAATGTCGTCTCATTGAACCATTTTGTCTAGTTCTGTTTTGCAGAGCGGTAAGATGTAGGGGCCGCAGAGCGCCCTAAAAAGTGAGGGAGCCTATAAATTGAGACTAGTATGGAAAAAGTGAGGGGGCTAAGATTGGAAAGTATAAGAGACTAGTACATGAGAAAAAGGAAAACGGTAGGGGGCTGTAGTCCCCCTGCTCCACCCCTGACGCGGTGGGTGGATAACTGGTTTGACATTGTCGCTCAGTTGAATGTGGTACTTCTCCCCTGGTCCTACTTTGTTGAAACAGTCTTTGTAGTCTTCGAGGACAATTAATTCGTTGGCGGCCAGTTATGTTCTTGAGGGCTGAGGTGCTTGGACTTGTGATTCTGATGTGCTTATCGTACCATGAATATTTAGAATAACGATTCCAAGACCTTGTGACTGCTTGCAGCCAATCATGTACAGGCTACCAGATGCCTCGACAATAGTAAACTGAATTTTAATGGTATCACTTGATCATTCTTCTTCTTAGGTGTACGTATATAAGGTGGTTTCTTGATTTTGCATGTAGGTGTCCTGTCCTTGAAAGTCAGGACTGTCAACTATCTCGTGAACTTCTCTCATTCTCCATTTCATTCAGAAAATGCCCAATCTTAGCACAGTACGTGCATTTTTGGTGAGTAGCTGGCTGGACATGTGGCGGATTTTTGGTTCTTGTTTTTGCAACGGATACATCCCATTGAACTTGAAATTGAATTGTCTTGGTTTGGAATAATCTGGTTCCTTCTGTATCTGATTGCTAGTTGAATTCTTGCCGGCGTTGTCTACCATCGTGAAAATTTGGTTTCGGCGGCTTCGTGAATAACTTCACTTTCGTTCCCAAGATTATTGAATTACTGGCTATGATATTTAAATTAGCTAGATTACCTTAAAGACATATAAATATGGCTTGATTTTTTATTTAAAAAATCGAAATTGAAGGATTTTCTGTGCTATGACAATCATATTGATATATAAGTTACTGATTTTAATTGATTTAAAAAATGCTTTAATCTCTTATATAATTTTTTATTATTCAACAATACACCACTTCAAGGATAGCGCCACAAGTTGTCAGGCTATATGAAAACAAGAGAAAAGTCACAATATCGAACCGAGGGACCCGTCATTATTAATAGTGAGAAGGGCTGGTGCAACAGTGAGTATGCCGTGTTTGTTTTCCCCTCCCTTTTTGTGAGGGAAATTTGTTCTGACCCCCCGCCGCAATAAATAATACTAGAAACAGATGATAGCAAATACGATGAAGGCGATAAAAGCAGTGATGATAGTGATGATAAAAATGTGAACAGTGACATAACAACATTCTCACTATAAACTATTACGTGGGCCAGGTATTCTGAACTCTAGTTAGGCCAGGCATGTAGACAACAAGTCCTGATGATGTTCATAAATATCACCAGCATTGGCAAAGCAAAAGGCAATCACATGTACATTGTTACTGAGGAAATACGTTGCTATTATTGAGAATTGTTACCACAGATGTAGAGTTGTGTTTCAGGAGATGTGTTATCAGAATATATTTTTCATAAGTACGAGAATAGCGGACTTTTTTGATTTAACAAATCTTAACAAGTTTTAATAAAAGTTGATAGGTTTTGCAATGTTTGTGAAAAAAAAAAAAAAAAAAA